AATATTACATAGAGATGTGCATGTGGGGTCAATTGATTTTTGAATCATTTGACAAGTGCATATCATGCCTGTTAGGCACAATGACCAAATCTCCTTTTATTTAAAAGGGAAAAATGTCTGCATAAATATTTGCATAATACATAGTGATGTATATGGACCTATATCAATTAATGTCAGATGAGAGTTCTCTTATGTCATCAATTATCATGTATACTTGATGAAATTCAAGTATGAAATTCTTGAAAGGTTCAAAGGATTAAAGTTAGAAGTAGAGAAACAAATAGGTAAAAATACCCTCACATTAAGATCCGATCAAAGTAAGAGTATTTTAAAGATAAAATTTAGATTATCTAAGAGAGAATGAGATTCTCTTGCAGTGAACTCCTCCATATACACTGCAGCATAGTAGTGTATCTAAAAGGAGAAATCGTTAACTATTAGATATAGTGCGATTAATAACAAGTCATGTAAATTTCCCAAAATCGTTTTTGAGGCCATGCACTGATTGCAGTGTGTTACACACTAAATCACGTCATATCTAAGTTGGTTAACACAATTCCATACGAACTATGGAAAGGCAATAGTCCCAATTTATCACATATGAAAGTTTGGGACTGTGACGCTTATTTGAAACACATTGAATCGAATAAATTTGAGACTAAATCCGACAAACAATATTTGTGGGATATCCAAAAACAAATATTTGGATATCAATTCTATTAATCCCTTGAGAAGAAAGTTTTCGTCTCACGATACATCGTCCTCTTAGAGAAAATGTTTACTCTAGTAAAGGACAGTGGGAGTAAAATAGAATTTGAAAGAGTTCAAGAGTCCACAAATATAGTTAACCAAGTATATGAATTCAAGTTTAATCCCATATTTGATGTGGAACATACTCTTGATCAGGAAGTAAAGACTCTTGAGGACATGTCAGCTCTATGTAGGATTATTCAACCTTCAAGAAGGTACAAATCCATGATTATTAATCAGGTATTATTGATCTAGGATGATGAACCTACTAGTTGCACAAAAATAAAGTCAAGTATTGACTTAAAAGAGACAGCAAGAGGCCATGAAACTCGGGATGAACTCGGCGTATGTGAACAATATTTGGACCTTGATCGACCCTCCTGATGGGATAAAACCCATAGGTTATAAATGGTTTATAAGGAAAAGGTCGAGACGAATGGAGATATCCATATATACAAAGCAAGGCTAAAAGGTTAAGTGTTGACCTTGACGAAACCTTTCGCCTGTAGCCATGCTAAAGTTCATTCGAATTTTGATTGCATTAGTTGCATGCCGTGACTATGGGTTAAAACAAGTCTCTTGGAACTGAAATTTTTGATTTGATGAAAAAATCAAAATGTTTGATTTTATCAAATATGAAGACGAATTGTGTGTTTACAAGAAAATAGTGAGAGCATTGTCGCATTCCTAATATTATAGGAAACAGCATCCCTATATTTCAATCGTTGAAATAATGGTTATTAAAAGATTTATTCATTAAAATATGGGACAAGCAACTTGATCTATAGAGATAAATATAGAAGATTGGTTAACTCATCCCAATCTACATAGATAAAGTCTTGAGAAGATTTTATATGGGGAAATTAGTTTGCTCTTAAGCGGTATGTTGGAAAAGTTCCAAACGTGAAACAATCGTTGGTTCAATAGTAGAAAGCTAATACATGATTGCTTTAGAAGCAGCAAAGAGTTGCAATGTGGATCAAGATGTTCATTAATGAACTTGGAGTAGTTCCTAATATTGTTGATCACATGTCATTTTGTTGTGATAACAATAGAACCACCGCGAAAGTGAAGGAACTGTGTCTCATCAATGATCCAAACATGTATTAAGGCGGTATAATCTCATCAGAGAGATAATACATAGAAATGACCAAAGAAGAGAACGAATTCCCACATTTTGACAATATTGCAGATCCACTGACAAAGAGTTGTCGTAGTATAAATATGATCGTCATGTTGACTCTTATGATATTGGATACATAAGTGATTGGATCTAGTGCAAGTGGGAGTTTGTAAGTGTTATGCCCTAGGTCCAATCAACCTTGGATATAAATACTTTTGATATATAATTAATGCAATTTAATGGCAGATCTATTAATTAATTAATAAATAATTAAATTAAATAATAGAGTCCGTAGATTCAAATCTTCATAATTTGTTAATCACAAGGAGTTGTGATTGTGAGATACAAATTACATATAATTGAATCTTAAATCGTCCGTGGTCATAAGTAATAACGAGATGGATATCGTTATTACGGATAGATCATCACGTGTGGCATTTCTCACTTGTGAAGTAAGTAGCTGATCTCACAAACTAAAGTGTGGTGACATTTAAATGAACACGTTGATGTTTTGTTATAGAACAAAACATTGGAGACCCGCCGAGAGATTCTACATGGATAATTATCTGAGTATCAGTGGTTAATCTCTAACGTTCGGTAGTGAAATTGGTCCTTTGACTTGAGGTCGTCATGGTACCTTATATGAGGATAGTTATACTTTGGCGGTGTTGGATGTTGCTCTGCAAAGGGCCGCTAATACGACATCATTCGGATACGTCAATAATCGTATGATGGTTATGATTGATCAATAAAGGAGTCGTCACTCTTAGATAGTAGGAGATTATGATCTACGTTTCATTCAATTAAGTCGATGATGAAATCCTTGGCCAAGGTGTACTCATAAGTCGAAAAGAAGTTTCGACTTATATTGACTTAATAGTGAAGTGAAAGATAAGATCGATAATCGAGATTAACACACTTCTATATTTCGTAACTGATCGGATCATATTGACGAAGAGATTATAATTTCATGGTAAACGAACGAATTTGGTTTTGTCATACCACGTGACATTTCTCGTCATATGTATTGCCCTAACACATTACTAGATGTCAATTTGGGACGGCGAGTGTAAATTGGTGATAAATTAAAAGAGTGTTTTAATTTATCAATTTTGATTAGATCAAAATAATATTTCACGTTGTTAGGTATAGTGATCAGGAACCTAATGGGTCGCACATAAAAGGAGAATTGGAATATTGTAATTTATCAATTAATTAATTTAACAAGCGTTGGATAAATTAATTAATTGGGTTGCATATTTATATGCCCGAATTAATTAATTGGATTAATTAGTTCATGGACCGAATTTAATTAAATGGGTTAATTAAATATTGAATCGGGTCAGGTCAAACCCGTTCGGGCTTATATAAATATGATTAGGGTTTTCAGAATTGTAGAGATTTTCATTATTCTTGCTAGCACAAGAAGAAAATCCTAATGCTGCAATCTCGTTTTCTGTATGGATTATCGTTGGAGGCTGGACAATTGGACAGCTGTGAGAGACGGATCCAAGTTGTTGGAACAAAGATATGATAAAGGAGTTTGCAGATCTTGTAAAGGGTCATCTTTATCACAATTTCTATCTAAACACAAAGGCGATTTTTGGTGAAAACCGAAATTTGTTTTAATTTTTCGTTGCGCATGTTAAGTATATTCCCAACAGGTTCCACAAGTTAACTTTCCGGAGGTACACACTAAATTCAATAATAGCCTTCTTATTTAGGTTTAATTCTTAACTCTGGTTTCTTTTACATTTAATTTTTTATAGCTTTTTTAGTAGTAAATTATAGAAGCTTGAAATTTAAAGGTCCGTTTTCTGTAAAATTAGAATTAATGGGTTCTAAAAGACCCCAGTTGATTTCGCTACAATCAGCTGTGAGTGATCATTTAAGTATTGATGCATCAAAATCCCAAAAGACTATTCCCAAGGTCACTATTTTTTTTTTCTTTATTCAGTTTGGTGTTGTAGTGTTTGTTAGCGTGGTTATAAGTAATTATTGTATTGTGCATGATGGGTTTTCCTTGGATTATAGGACATTGTTAAGGAAAATGAGCTTCTTGAGTTATTTGACAAGGAGAGAAGGGAAGATTATCTAGTAAATACTGTTTAGGTTTGGCACTAATTTTTAAGTTTGCTTTTCTGTTGTATTGTCTATATTGGTGAATGATTTCACTCTTCTTCTCTCATTTAGGTCATACCTTACATTATCGATGCCATTCAAGAGTGGATTGAATGTGTAGTGCTTATTCCGGTGGATGGAAATGAGATTCCATCTAATGTTTGTGTCATAGAATTGGGTGGCACACTATTAGTATGAAAGGTGTTTCACTTGTATTAAAATAAATTGTTTTTAACATTGGTTTTTTCTAAAACTATCTTTCATCATGCACAGGGACGGAGCTAGGAAATTTCTTCATGCGGGCGCAATTTAATCGAAGTCAAACTTTGAATTTTTGTTCATGGATTTAATGACGAAAAAATATAAAACAATATCAAAAAAGTACTAGAAATGACATAGTTCATAAGTTACAATTATTCCTTGTGAATTTTCATATTTTAACATTGTTGTACAATAACTTCATTATCAATCTTCAAAAAATTATCTCATTCAAAAAATTAAATTTCTATGGTAGGATGTATTATCTTACAAAAAAAACTTGAATGTCTCGTTTTTATATAAAAACTTTGCCAATTATGATGTATCCTATCAAAGATGGGAAGATAAAACTTCGATCAGTCATATTGCAAGTGCCTATTACACTTATCATTAGCGTACTAATTCAACAATAATGGCAAATGACCTTCCATTTATTCATGCATAGATGAGTGAATGAGACTGACGAAATAGTATATTTTTCAATGGTGAGAAAGAAAAAGAAGCTATTAATGAATACATAATGAGTTAATTGTTTCAATGGTCACTGAACTTGTGTCTTCGTCTTTGATTAGTCACTGAACTTGAAAATGTCAAAATTTGGTCACTGTACTTTCTCAAACGTTGGACGTCGCTCGCTGAGTCAAGTTTCGTTTCTAACCCTAACGGCAACGGTTAGATGACTAACGAATTGTCTAGATGGCGCCACGTTTACATATGCCACCTAAGAAACTCATTTTTAAAACACTCATTCACTCTTAACCAAAAACCCCAAATCAACCATTTTTGAACCCTTGCCCCAAATTTCCCGAATTTTTCCCCTCAAATCCTACCCAGTCCGTCGAAGAAGAAGACAAAGAAAAGAACACCGACGATGTCGCGCAGTGGAGTGTCAAACGCAGGTAAAATTTATTTACTTTTTTGATATCATTATTACTTCCTTTTGATTCTTCGGTACTCACTATATCTGTAATGGTTCTCTGCATCTTCATTGATGTGTTGGTGTTCATCCATTTATTATTTTACTATATATTTATCTATTTGTTTTAGTTTTATGTAAACAATAGGCTTTACTTATGTTCATCCACACGGTTTCAAGCTTTTCAATTCAGACTTGCATAAAAGTTTTGCCTTTTTCCCTCTAATCCGAATCTAAAAGACGTGACTTTTGTCAGGAATCTTACAAATGGAAAGGGAAATTTTATAGGTTGAAGGAATTAGATTTTGCATTTGACAAATTCACTAAGGGTACAAAATCAGTTTTTGCATTTGAGAAATTCACTTTGCATTTCCAGTCATCAAGATTATTATGGTTGTCTATAAATTTAAGTATATTGATCCCTCCCAACCAACTGAAGAGAAAAAACACAAAAATCAAGATTTACGATATACACAATGCATGTGAAATTTCATTTTTGCTTTTTTTTTTTTTTTTTTTTTGGGGTTTTTTAAACAATTTAGTTTTAAGCATGTTACTTTGGTCATTTTGGGATGAAATATTATGTTCTTATTTTGGACTGATTGTTCTATGCATTATGGTGACGGGGTGGGGGGATGATCCGAATTTTATCGTCCCTTATAATGAATATCATACGGATGAGGATGATGACATGTACATTCAAAATATGGATGAAGTTATTGACTTGGAATACCCATCCTCAAAGGAATTATTGTCTGGCTTTTCATCGAATGACTAACCAAGGCCAAGATTTCCAGAATTTTGTGCGGATAAGGATATGCAGGATCCAAAATTCGTGGTTGGCCAGAAGTTCAGTTTGGTAGATTCTTTTAGACAGGAAGTTAGAACATACGGGGCATTCCATAGGTACAATGTGAAATTTAAAACTAATGATAGATCAAGGGTGCAAGCCGTATGCAAGGAATGATGCAATTGGAATATCTGGGCATCTAAGACATGTAAAGACGAAGCATTTCAAATAAAATCAATGGCCCCAGCACACACATGCAGCCGTGACAAGATATATAGATGCCTCACGTATGATTTTTTAGCTAAGCGATATCTGGAGACTTTTAGAGAGAATCCTGAACGAAAGACATCAAGTTTCATTCGCCGTGTGAAGCAAGACCTAAAGTCTGACATTAGTCGGGATGTTGCATGGAGGGCGCGAAGGCATGTGAAGTTGCTTTTGGAAGGTAGTTGGGAAAAACAGTTTTAGATGCTTCGATCATATGCTGCAGAAGTTTTCTGATCGAACCCAGGATCTACTGTATTCATTGCATTGAGGGAGCAGGTTTTTAAAGGAATATACATTTGCTTTGAAGCATGCAAGCGGAGGTTTCTGAATGGTTGTAGGAAGATAATTGGATTGGATGGGTGTCATTTAAGGGGGGATTACGGAGGACAAAAGCTTATAGTGGTTGCATACAATGTAAATGATTGCATTTACCCGGTTGCTTACGCGGTAATTGAGGGGGAGAATACGGTAAGTTGGCGATGGTTTGTGCAACACTTGGCGAATGACCTTGGTATTGATGACAGTAACCGGTGGACTTTTATGACTGATCGTCGGAAGGGCCTTCAAAATGTGATTGATGATTTATTTCCCGCTGTTGAACATTGATTTTGTGTGAGGCACATGTATCAAAATTTTCAAAGCAGGTTTCAAAGACTGAATTCTGAGGGATTACTTGTGGAGAGCTACTAAGTCAACCATAGTTGCGCATTATTTGATGTGGATGCAACAAATCAAACAAGTGTATGAAAATGCACATGATGGTTTGATCAAAAGGGATCCACGGGAGTGGAGCAAGTCTCACTTTCAGGTTATAGTGAAGAGCGACATTGTTTTGAATAATGATTGTGAGATTTTCAGTAAGACATTGATAGATGACAGAGAGAAATCAATACTCACAATGCTAACTTCCATTCAACTTACCTTCTGAAGAGTCTACAAGGAAGAAGGGATAAGATGAGGGCCTACGAAGGGGCCATATGTCCTAAGATATAAATAAATAAATAAATTGGTGAGGAATATTGAGTTGGCGGATGGATGCGACATCAATTGGTCCGGAGGACCAAAGTATCAGGTGACGAGTGCAAGTGGACAATACGTGGTTGACTTGGAACAACGTACATGTGCCTGTAGATGGTGGGAACTAACAGGGATCCCATGATGTCATGCAGTTGCAGTTATTCTGGACACACGAAATCAGCCAGAGGATTATGTAGATAGGTGCTACTCAGTGGAAAAATACCTTGCTTGCAACGAAAACATACTCAGTCCTATGAACGGATCTTTTGTGTGACTAAGTGTGGAAGCTCTTCCAATCGAAGCTCCTAATTGGGTAGAAACACAAAAGGGAAAGAGACCAAAAAAAAAAAAAGCAGAAGAAAGGGAGCTGAAGAAGATTATATTGAACATTCATGAGGGAGATCTAAAATATCAAAAAAGGAAAATTGCATAATGACGTGTTCTGTCTACAGCAGGCAAGGGCATAATAAAAAATATCACGCAAGGGCCGATGCTCCAGATTCCGTAAGTTTTGTCAACCTGCCTATTTAATATAAATATACATTTTTTTCTCCATTTCTTCACCCCTTCTTATCAGTACTTTTGTCCATTTAGGAGTGGTTCAACACGACCCTAGAGCCAGTTTGTTCTGAAAGAGAGCGACCTGGGTGGCTGGAAGAAAACTAACTCCAGACAGAGGAAGTGTTGGACAGCCCACCCAATTGGACTGATTTCAACATTCTGGTGTTTTTTGGATGGTTGGCAGATGGTTTTTGGTGTACTTTTTTGGCTGAATGTAATTAGTAGATGATGTTTTTTGGATGTTCTGGTGTATGCTTTTGGCTAAGTTTAATTACATGTTTGAATGTGATTAGTAGATGATGGTTTTTGGATGTTTTGGTGTAAGCTTTTGGTTAAATGTAATTACATGGATGAATGTAATTAGTGGATGATAAACTTTGGATGCCAACTAAAAGGGATGCCTGCTGTTGCATATTTTAGTTATTAGCTTACAGGCAAACTTTTTCACCTTCCAAAATGTCATTAATTTTGGATGCATGGTATTGTTGCATAAATGTTGCTGGTTTAAAGCTTTGCATATTCTGCTGGTTTTGAAAATTTTCAACTTTTTAACTTTCCAAATGTCATTTCATGTATATACCTAATTTATAGAGGCTGCAGGGGGTTGTAAGGGGAAAAGGAGGAGACATTTTAGGTGAAAAATTACTTTAACCATAGCAGATCATATTTTTGCTATAAATTGTACGTTGATATTTTATGGTTGTTCATTGCAATATGAATTGAAATGAAAAAATGGACTGAAATTTCCATTAGAACTATGGACGTAAATACAAACCTACCAATATTATTTAAGAGTATTAATAACAACATAATCTGCATTGTCATAAAGCTGAGTGGTTAATACTCGACCAATTTCAAAGTTCAGTGAGTAGTTGAATACGTTTTTCAAAGTATAGTGAGTAATCAAAGATATTTTTCAAAGTTCAATGAGCAATAAAAAATATTTGTTAAAGTTCAGTGAGTAATTGAAGGCATTTTATTTATTTCAGTAAAAAAGATAACAACAATGTGGCGCCACCTAGACAATCCGTTAGCCATGTCATCATTGCCGTTAGGGGTTAGAAACGAAAGTTAACTCAGTGAGCAGCGTCCAACATTTGAGAAAGTTCAATGACCAAATATCGACATTTTCAAGTTCAATGAGTAATCAAAAACAAAGACACAAGTTCAGGGACCATTGGGACAATTAACTCATACGTAACAACAAAGTTTACATTCAGAGATACAAAAAAAGAATCAGATTATCCAAATAAAGCTCTCCAAAAGATCTAGTGCCAATTATTTTCTTAACTTATACTTTCCCCCAATCACATAATCCATAATTAAATTCCTAAAATCGATAAAACCAAAAAAAATAAAAATAAAAACAAAAACATTTCTTTATTCCACAATTAATCATTCAATACCAAAATCATCAAATCCAGACTTTAAAAATACCCTTCAGATCCATGAAATTATCTCAAAAATTAAATCTAAAAATCACAAAAGTTCATTTATTTTGAGTTACCTAAAAGATCAGAAAAATTGGCAAATATTGTCTATCCCACCATTACATTCCAAACATGGGCTCTTTAAAAAAAGGGTTGAAATGGGCATAGGCATGGGCCCAAAGTTCAATTACTCGTACTGATTATGTAGGCGATATCAAGTCAATGCCCTTTATTGAGGCACTGGGATAGTTCTCATTTCGAATCGGTAAGATAAATCTCGAATCAAAAATACATTTACTTAAATTAACTTTATCAGAAGCTAGTAGTTGTGTTTCTCATAGATTTAAACCACATGACATCCTTCTATCAATAGTTTTTACTTGAATCATTTATTCTTTATAAAAAGTCATTTTTTTTAATCTATGAATATTTTCCACAGAGACAATGAATGTTTTGAAAATTTACACAAATTTTTAACATTAATCAACTAACGTGTGATACATGTTCACCCCACTAGTAATATCAAAAGCATGTAAGTTTAAATTTGTGGGGCCCACCATATACCTAATTATGTATCTCTGTGTGTGTTTTTTTGGTGGCGTGAAATGTGGTTGCCGCACTATCAACAATATTAGACCGTTAATAGTTGGGCAATTGCAAATGTGAAGGTAATTAATACGCTATTAATTTAATGGCTTGTATTAGTTTTCATTCGATTTTTCAACACATCCTGAAAACCCGTGTATTTGTAAAGAATTTTGTTATTTGTACGTCGGGATTGTACGCCCCTCACATAAGGGGGCCCACGCCCAATAAAAAAGAAGCGTGGGCCCCTCTTGTGAAAGACGTGTACAATGTCAGTGCATGTATTGCAAATCCCATTTGTAAAATCTCCATGCAGTAGACTTGGAGTGGGCCCTAAAATGAGGCGGGCTTATCTTGAAATATCCCATGCTATTTTGGACTCTTTCGAATCACTTGGCCCACTTGATGGACCATCTAAGCTATACTATGATGTAACGGAACACCGACAAAGACAACTTTTTAGCTGCAAATGCTGCCTATGATAGTCAATGCTTTCCCATTCCCATTCTCATTTCATTTATTTAATAAGCCCATATTTCAACTTCATTATTTAAATTTTTATTTTTTCTTAAACTTATTTTTAATTATACATTCTCTCAATAAAATAATTTTATACGTAATTTCAAAATCTTTTTTTTTACTTTTTAACTATATATTCTCCAAAAAATCATTATTACAAAATTTATTCTCCCGAAAAAATGGGATCGAACAAACCCTATAACTTTTTAAAGTTTATTTATTTGTTATAAAATTTTATAGTATGGTAGACTGTCCTATTTATAATTGATTGAAGTTGGTTACTAAAATTAATTATGTTGACGTGAAATCTTAATGTCACTCTTCACATTTCTGATTTCTCTGAATAATTTTGCATTCTCTGTAAACATTATATTAGCAAAAACAAAGTTTGAATAGTGAATATTCGGAGAATATGTAGTTCAAAACTAAGAAATAGTTTTGAATTTACGTGTAGAATATTTTATTGTGTGAATGTGAGGTTGAAAATAAATATGTAGAAAAAAGAGTTTTGGAATAAATGATGTCAAACAGAGAAGCTAAATCACTTGACTAATTGATCTAAAAATTATGATAATCGAAAAGATTTAGTACCCATTTGGCAAAACTTTTGAATAGTCAAAACATACTTTTGAGTTGGGCTGTACAAAAAAATTGCGAAATCGCAAATTGAATCGAATTCATTGATTTGGGTCCACGTAGACTCACGGAGATTTTTCCCTTAAATCGAATCAAATCGTTTAAATTTAGATTTTCAAAAATTGAACAAAATCGAACGAAACCGTTTCCAAATGGTTGACATTTTGTTTATGAAACTTATTGTTGTGAATCCAAGAATTGATTACAACCTCGATTCCCCTTTGGCTGCTAAAGTAAGTAATTTTTTTCATCTACTTATACTGTTTGTAAAACAATGCTAATCAAGCAATCTTTGTAATATTTGCTATGTAATTTACCCAAGAAAAGAGAATAACTATTGCGTTATTTGTAATATAGTAACTTGTAAACAAATATAAATATATTCATGAGGCATGACCTACATATTGTTAAAATTAGTACCACGATTTTTTACAAATTAATAACATTTGTTTCTCTTCTAAAAATTGTCCTTTTTAGGTTTTGGTTTTTGTTAAGAGCATGGCAATATGTGGAGTGGAAAAAAATGCAATCTATAGTTATGAAGAATAATTTGGGTAGAGAAAACATGGAATCGATGGATAAATCACAGGTTTAAATCGAATCAAACTGTAAATAATGTTTGAATTGGAAAAAATTTCAAACTACATAAAATTATTTGAGTTTAAAATATAGCACAAATCACTCAAGTTGAACTGCGTTCATCCTTTTGAGATTAAGAAGAACTTTTTGAATATGTTTAAATAATTTTTTGAAAATGCTTTATCTAGTGATTCTATATGATATGAGAGGTGGACTACGATGGCTAATCAAGTGAAGGCGATAGCCTGATTGTTACTATGCTAATCCGACTAATGTTATTTTAGCTCATCTATCAACATGCTAGTTCGTCTACTGCAATGCTAGTCCATCTACTACTAGGCTAGTTCGTTTTATCGCTATGCAAGTTTGTCTATCACTATGCTAGTCCATCTACCACGAGTCTAGTTAATCTACCAATATGCTAGACCGTCTACTGTCATGTTGGCTTGACTTGCACTTCAACAGATCGACCATTATAATTCTCAATTGTCTGAACATTATTTTAATTGATTGAAAATCGTCTAACGATTATCAAGTGTCACTTTTGTCAGGTCAATTGGTAAAGATTGACCACTAAATACAGGGGTAAAAACCGTCTGACGGCGAACGATTTTCACTGGACACTTAGACAAAAACCACCTAGCAGTTACATGGTTCTAAATGCCTATAAATACTCCAAATGAGTGTCAGGTAATGAGATTTTTTTATTTTTTTTTTCACAAGACTTTCTGGTTTCTTCTTGTTTTCCCTCAAGGGATTATATTCAAAACCCTATTACTAATTCTCACATCGGAGGTACAACGGAGGAAAAAGCCACAATCTCTATTTGCAGGTGTTTCATTGTTCATTGGAGTAGCAACCTTGCTCCGCTAAGGAAGTCCAAATGATCATTTCTTTACTACTTCATCTAGAAGAATTTTTAGAAAACGCCATCATAAGACTGCTTTCTCATGAAACTTTCTATAAGATGTAGAGGCAAAAATAGAAGTCCTACCAAACACGTCTTTAATATTTTTATGCTAAACTAATCCCAGATAGACAGAATTTTTGACAATATTATCATATGAAAGCATACTTTCTTTATGCTAGACATCAAATATGACTCTCTCTATTATGACATAACGGAAGATAGACTAGACCTGATGCCCTTCGTATATGTAGAAATAATAATAGGATGACATAATCTTAGGTGGAATATGATCGATAAGAAAATTTTATAGGACATCAAGCTCCATGCATCAAATCATCTGTCTTTATTTTATTAAGCCTTGTTTCGCTCTCATTCTTTCTTAACTTTAATGGTTGGAATAATATTTATTTGAAAAACGTGTAATTGAAAAAGAATAAAAAAATTTTATTTGCATGTAATATTATTTTATAAAAGATTGTGTGGTTAAAAATAAAAGAAAGAAAAATAATGAGAATGAGGGCTAAATAGCAACTCCCTGGGAATGAGTAAATTTAAATAAAGAATAATGTTAGAAGCACAAATAAGTAAATTCAAGTTAAGAATATACAATAGTTTAATTTTGTTTTCTACTTGAACCTTGATACATGTACACTTTAATTTACATTTTGTCACGTGGTATTGCTCTATTGAATAGTTTAAATGTCAGACAGTTTTTGATCCAATCGACACTTGACAATAATACAAGTGTCAAAAATTAGTGTACAAATAGTAATTTTAATTTCATAAATACAATTTTTTTATCAATTTTTTAGCCACCAACTTTTATAAGAAGTTTTGTCACACAATCTCTCGCGACGAATATTACAAAGAATTGGACTAAATACATTATTTGGTAAAACATTAATTATTTTCTCGAAAAGGATACCTTAAGCATAAGGGAATCAATCACATCACACAAGGACCACGTGATTCGAGGAATCTTATCACCGATACTGGATCTTTGAATCTTCTTTAATAATCTTTTCCTTATATAATTTGGATTTAATAATACTTAATTTAAATTATTATAATTTCAAATAAAAGGAGACAATTCAAAGGATCAAACAAAATACACAATCTTACCGTACCAGTGACCCTAACTTGACTCCATTATTTTCCAAGCCAAAATCTTTGAATTTCGTAAATAATTGACAAACTTGGTATCATGGTATGTTATTTAATATAAATATATATTACTACTTGGTACATGAAGAGTTCACACTTAGCCAAATTTGAAGAATAAAGTACACAAATAATTCATTAATAAAATAGAGTTAAGCTTGAATCTTGTGGTGGTCAACGGTTGCGGTGGATATCAAGCGTGGGTTTAAAGGAGGAGGGTATTTTATTTATTTACCGATCTATATTTAGTTACACGACTTATATTCATTTAAAAATTTTATCGTTCAAAGTTTTTTCTTGTCGTATGCTTGTTATTTGTTAATGTTCTTGGAAGGCATTTTTTTTCACTATTTAATGCCTATTTTGAACGAAATTATAGAAAAAGGAGTATCATATTTTCGAAAATTGAAAGTTTAAGATCGAAATGTTAAAAAGAAAAAAAGACATAAGCTCTCAAAAAAAAAATGATAATAGTCACATTTCAAGGTTCAATTAGAACCTTGTAAATTATTGAGTTGATAGTTGATATACATGTGTTATTCCATATTCTTTTCTTTTCTTTTTTCTTTTTTGTATGTGTCTCATTGTTACATTTCCCAATTTTCTCTTATTACGAAGACAACAAATAATTTTGTCAAATTATCTTGATTGTTGATAAAAGAGAGAGGAGAAGATGCTAGAAACAAAGGAAAAAAAACAAAAAAAAAGTATCTATCTTCCTAATCCATCTCATGATTTGATTGGTCGAAAATCACATCATTATAATGACACCGAAAAATGGTTATCATCATAGCATTTCAATCACAATCGTCACTTCTTTTCCAATATTAGGCCCCGTTTGGTACACATTAATGTAAAAATGAGAATGAAAAATATAGTCGTTATGAGCCCCACACAAGAGATAGAAATTCAAATTTGGTGGCTTGATGTGATGAATAACGATCATATTTTTTATTTTAATGAAGAAAAAATGGGAAACAAACGGGGGCTTAATGAATATCTACTATAACTTTTCACTCTTAGGCGCTCGATCAACTTTAAGCCCTTGTTTGAGCCACGTTATATTCCTAACAATGCATTTTTAAATAGTGTATTGATGAAAAATGTGTGGTTAAAAATAAAGAAAAAAATTTGAATTTACGTGTATTATTATTTTATTGAAAAATGTGTAATTGAAATGACGTCAAATCACTATTTAAGAATATATTTTTTTGAAAAAATGTAGCTCAAATATGGCCAAAATTATTTTTATTACTTGTGGGTCTTGCAATCATGAAACTTATGGCTCCAATTTTATAGGATCCATGACAACTAGGGAGAATAATTTAAACAGGTCAAGTGACAGATTTTTAAACAGACATATACTTGATGAAGTCTCATTAAGGTCATGTTTGATCCACATTATTTAAAAAAATACATTCTTAAATAGTGATTTGACATCATTTCAACCACATATTTTTTAATAAAATAATATTACATACAAATTCAAAATTCTTCTTTATTTTTTAACCACATATTTTTCATCAATACACTATTCAAAAATACTTTTTCCCAAAATAAAGTGGATCAAACAAGGGCTAAAAGTTAAAAATAATAATAATACAAAACACTACCAATCAGGGGCTGAGATTTCAACCCTCGGAATGGGCTCCTGTCAGTGAGCCTGTTCGTTTGGCTTAATCCTAGTTTAGCCCTTGTTTGAGCTGCATTTTGGGGGAAAGAATGCATTTTAAAATAATGATTAATGGGGAATGTGTGGTTAAAAATCGAGTAAAATTTTTAGGTTTGAGTGTAATATTATTTTATTGAAAATTGTGTGATTGCAAATGAATTTTTAGAATAATGGAACTCAAACGAGAGCTTAAACTCATATAGTTTCGTTTTAGGTTTTCTACAACACCAACTTTGATTAATGACTAGAATGATGCTTCAGAGCCCAGGATTAAATCCTGGGCTCCGTTCTAGGGCCGAGGTGACGCATGCCTCGGCCCTTGATCTTTAATACATGGGGCCCGCGCCATTTTACACTAGGGGCTGAGATTTCGCCACCTCAGCCCCTGGATTTAATCCCGAGATCTGCAGCATTTTTGTAATGACTAATGTCGTTTAGCAAATTTTTTATCTTTTCATCTACTTTTACTTTTTGTAAAAGGGTTTCTTTAGTAACCTATTTTATATAACTTTCTCAAAGAGATATTCAAATTAGATAAAATGTTTTCAAAAGTTTGTTCCAAATATGTTTAGAAGCAACTTTTGACTTTTCAAAAATCTTGTCAAATAAGACCTAAGAGCATTTTTAGGAGACGTTTTAAATATGAAATGCTCTATTTTAAAGAATTAACCCTTAAAATCATGTTTTGAGATACTCTTCAAATTAACATTTTAATGTAGTCTCTAAATTTGGAAAGCAAGACTCACTCTCTATAATTAAATGTATTTAAAGTATTTCAATTTTCAAGTAGAAAAAAATATAATGATTTTGAGAAAAATTAATTAAAATACAAGATAGAAAAAAATAATAAAATTTTTTGAAAGTAGTAAAATTAAGTATTAAATATAAAGAGCTAGTTGGAGTACTTTAGAGTCTTTACTCTTTGAATTTATAGATACTCTCTAAACTATAGATTATGTTATTTAAAAACAGATAACTATAAAGTCTTTTGAAGATACGCTAATATATGTGTATAGAAAAGCATATACATATATACGTTTATATATATATATATATATAAAGCACATTTTTAGATGAAAAAAGAATGGTACAAAAATATATGATGCATAAATTACATTTATATTTGTGCAAATGAGATATTTAGTCGTAAATAGAACGCAAGTGTGAACAAATAATCATAACATTGACCTTGAGGGAAAATTGCACTCAGAGGTCCCTAATTTTTCATTTCTTGCAGATTTTACTCTAACCTTCATTTTGTGTCGACGAAAGTTTCTAACCTTTCATAAATATACACCTGAGATCCATCTGAATGGAAACTGTCCAAAACACAGTCAGTTGATCTGAAAAATTAAGGAATCAATATCCAATAAGACCGTCCAAAACACCGTCCAAAAACATTGTCAAAAAAAGTATCAACATCCAATAAAATAGCCGCGATAGCAAATAGTTCGAGAAAATTTTCTAATCAACTGACTGTGCTTTGGACTGTTTCCGTTCAGATTGATTTTAGGTGCATATTTATGAAAAATTAGGGACATTCACTGACACAAAATGAAGATTTGGTTTAAGTCTGTAAAAAATGAAAAGATTAGGGATCGCTGCTGCAATTTTCCCTTGATAAATATTAAAATATTAGTAGAATTTTGATGTCTACCTATTTTCTTTTAGAAAAGGCAAGCCCATGTGAGGAGACCTCAAAATTCCAAAACATTGACCTAAAGTTTGCACAATGACAAAAAAGATAAGTTTCCAAACCATTGACTTTGTCAAAGTAGTAAATTTTCATAAGCACAAATAAAAGAAGAGCTAAAATATAATCCCCTTCCTTATACGTACATGTCAAGTTCATTTTTATTGAGCACATGATCAGTTTCATATTTAATCATGGAAAGTAAAAATATTTATTTAATTCCTAACTTGCAAAAAAAAAAAAAAAAAAAATTAACAAAATTTTAATTTTTTGATTCTTTAATATGATTTAAACGAACCCCCACCCCACCTAGGTAGGTAAAAAATTTCACTCACTCACACTCAATCTCCCTACTAAGCCACTGTGTGACTTTTTGGCCACAAAATCAAGTTGCAATTCCCACAAAACCAAAATATAAAGAAACCCAAGAGACCAAAATATCAAATTAAATCTTCTATATTGCTCTCTCGTTTGTAGCTCCTCATCATGGGAACTTTACAAGTCGAAACTTCTAATTGCACCACCATCGCCAACCACCATGACTCGAAAGAGCGTGGCCTCGTCAATGGTGAAGATGATGACGAGTCGCCAATTGAAGAAGTCCGGCTAACCGTCTCTAATTCCGACGATCCGACCCTACCTGTATGGACATTCCGGATGTGGTTCTTGGGCCTATTATCATGTGGGCTACTATCATTTCTCAATCAATTCTTCTCCTACCGGACTGAGCCACTTGTCATCACACAGATAACTGTTCTAGTTTCCACTCTCCCCATTGGCCACTTCTTGGCTGCCACACTGCCTACCACCAAGTTCCGGATTCCAGGGTTCGGATCCAGATTGTTTTCTCTGAACCCTGGTCCGTTTAACTTGAAGGAGCATGTACTGATATCTATATTTGCTAATGCTGGAAGTGCTTTTGGTAATGGCTCGGCTTATGCCGTCGGAATTGTTACCATTATTAAGGCTTTTTATCGCCGGAAAATATCGTTCTTGGCCGGTTGGTTGCTTATCATTACCACTCAGGTCTCTCTCTCTCTCTCTCTCTGCACACACAGACACCTTAAACATTTTAAATCAGTCTTTTGTTGGAAGAAAACTGTTTTTCTTTTCAAACTCGACCATTACAAGGTCAAAAATGTTCACCTGGAGTTGAACCATCCAGTGGACCGGATTTCTTACATCCTCAGTTCTCAATTTTTCCGGTTAAATTGGTTTGAAATGTCTGATTTTCAAAACAGTCGTTAAAACTTTAACAGGAAGCATCGGTGAGGCTGTTTTGTTACTTTCATCAAACTTAAGCTACTTGCTTTTTGTGTTCTTTCTCAGTGTCAAATTATACAATTTCTACTTGCAGAATTCACCCTAATTTGCTGTGAACATTAAGAAATTATTTTATATAAATTATATTGAAAATAAAGCATATTGCATATGGGTTGAACTTGGCAGGTATTGGGATATGGTTGGGCAGGGCTCTTGAGAAAATATGTAGTTGAGCCGGCTCACATGTGGTGGCCAAGTACTCTTGTCCAGGTCTCACTTTTTCGGTAAGATGAGCTTTTTAGCAGATTTTGATAAAAGTTAATAAAATATATGATTGAAAAATTTACCTTCGTAAAATATGTATTTAAAATTAATTGTTAACTTTGATTTTGATAAAAATCTTGATTATAATTTCTATCAAATAGGAGCTAAGTAAGTTAACTTAATTTGCACCATGATACCATATTTGATTATGGGAGGTAGGTTCATAATTTAGTATAAACAAGACGTGTAGATAAGATAAATATACTTATAGGTAGTAAGACTTGGACTCGAGATCTTTTTGTGTTGGACACGTTAGGACAATCCAATAGACATTATCGAAGCATTGAATCTGTATTTCATAATTCAAATAAGGTAAAAAAAAAAATGATGAAATTTTACTATTAAGAAAGGGGTTGGCAGCAGGGAAAGACATAGGATTCTTTGTCAAGGGTTCACATGCAAGTTTTAGCCAGCTTGCAACTTTAAAAGTAGTTTTCCCACTTGCACTTTCATGCATTCAATAATTGTAGAGATTTCCCAATCTGTAAATCCTATATTCTGGCTCCATTCAGGGACCAGTGGACATCACATATAGTTGACTTGTAATGAAAGCATCCAGTTGGCTTATTAAAAAAAAAAAAAAGGGTTGAACCTCAATCTTGAGGGCCCCACCACCCCGTCCCTAGAGCTTTGTGAGGGAGGTAAATCGTTGGACGTACCTCAACAGGCCAGGGAACAAGAGCTACCTGTACTCTGCACTTACAAGGAGTCCAATTCCATGTTTCAGGAATCGAACCCCCACACTGCGGCTGCCAACAAGGCGTGAGATAACCTCACTCCTATCCTCCCTGGGGGCGGCTTATTAGTTATTATGTCACTTGGTGTAAAATTTTTATCAACATTAAATTATAAACTTACATTAAATGGATTGAAATTCGGGGTTAATCTTTATTATCTTTCTGTAAATTGGCTCGACTTGACTGTATATAGACAGACAACATTGACGATAACGAACATGCACTTTCAGACTTTCAGTTGACATTTGCTAACATTTTTAAGCTTATTAGCCAAATATGGTCAGTACTGATAATTTGAATGTTGCCACTGCAGAGCGTTGCACGAAAAAGACGAGCAGCGAATGTCAAGAGCGAAGTTTTTCCTTATTGCACTAATTTGCAGCTTTTCTTGGTACTTAGTCCCGGGATTCCTCTTCCCAACTGTCACAAGCATCTCATGGATCTGCTGGGCTTTCTCCAAGTCCGTGACGGCCCAACAGCTTGGATCGGGCATGCGAGGCCTTGGAGTCGGGGCCTTAACATTAGATTGGTCTGCTGTAGCATCCTTTTTGTTCAGTCCACTCATATGTCCCTTCTTTGCCATTCTCAATGTCTTTGCAGGGTATTTTCTGATCATCTACATTGTACTCCCTATATCTTATTGGGGAGTCGACTTATATGGTGCTCGGAGATTTCCCATTTTCTCCTCACACTTGTTCACTGCTGAGGGTCAGACTTATAATATAACAGCAATTGTTAATGATCGGTTCGAGTTGGATTTGAATAGCTATGAACAACAAGGACGGATACATCTAAGCATGTTCTTTGCCTTGACATATGGTTTTGGTTTCGCTACTATTGCCGCCACTTTGACACACGTTACCTGCTTCTACGGAAGGTAACAACAGACTCTAAAACGAACAAGATTTTAGTTTCTACAATCGTGTATGAACTTTTCTAACAACTCGATATTTCGTTAACTTGTAATTTGCAGAGAAATCTATGAAAGATACCGTGCTTCGTACAAGGAAAAAGAAGATATCCATACGAGACTTATGCGAAGATACAAGGACATACCTTCGACGTGGTTTTATATATTGCTTGGAGTGACACTTGCAGTCTCGTTAGTACTCTGCATCATCTTGAACAAGCAAGTTCAGATGCCATGGTGGGGACTCATTTTTGCTAGTGCCATGGCCTTTATCTTCACACTTCCAATCAGCATTATTACTGCCACAACAAATCAGGTAATTAATCGAAAACTTTTGGCATCTTTGTAAAATCTGTTTCTGTCCTGCTAAGCTATAATTGTTTTATTTCCAGACACCAGGCTTGAACATAATCACAGAGTATGTTATGGGTATCATATACCCGGGAAGACCAATCGCTAATGTGTGCTTCAAAACCTACGGCTACATGAGCATGGCCCAGGCTGTCTCTTTCCTCAGCGATTTCAAGCTTGGTCACTACATGAAGATCCCTCCCAGATCAATGTTCATAGTTCAGGTAATTTTCCATTGTTCATTTCCACAACTTGGTGACAGATTTAACTTTTGGGCGAGAAAATTATCGAAACAATTGACTCATTTTGTTAAGGAGTTGTATACCAATATCAACATTCCCTTTTTGTTCTTGTTCTTTTTCGACTGTTTTATTATGTTGATGCTAAAATGGCAGTTCATTGGAACAATTTTTGCGGGAACTATCAACATTGCTGTTGCGTGGTGGCTGCTCAACTCCATTGAGAATATATGCCAGGACGAGCTCCTTCCACCAGATAGTCCATGGACATGCCCTGGAGATAGGGTCTTCTTTGATGCATCAGTCATATGGGGATTGGTCGGACCGAAAAGAATTTTTGGAAGTCTCGGAAATTATAGTTCCATGAATTGGTTCTTTCTTATGGGTGCAGTTGGACCTGTCCTAGTTTGGTTCTTACACAAGGCATTCCCAAAACAATCTTGGATTCCTCTTATTAACCTTCCGGTCCTTCTCGGGGCGACAAATGCCATGCCACCAGCAACACCATTGAATTACAATGCCTGGATTATCGTTGGAACGATTTTCAACTTTTTCGTCTTCCGTTATCGGAAGCAGTGGTGGCAAAGGTACAATTACATTCTTTCAGCAGCTCTAGATGCCGGGGTCGCTTTCATGGCCGTGCTACTCTATTTCTCTGTCGGGATGGAGAATAGAGGGTTAACTTGGTGGGGCACGGACGGGGAACACTGCGAGTTAGCAACTTGTCCAACAGCTAAAGGAATATCAGTTGATGGTTGTCCAGTGAACTGATATATTGTGCATGTACTTCGCACATTTCAGGTTCAACTTCCATAATGATTTCTCCCACTGCTGTTTCCTATTAGTATACTCAAGAATTACACCAAGAGATTCAACAAGAAAGCTGTGTAAATTCTGAATTCAATAGAACTCTGTTCGAAGAAAGTGAATTTGTATTTGACTCTTCTATACAGTCATTTTATAGTTGAACTTCTACTGAACAATGAAACTGCTGCCACTAGGAAATAGCAGTAAGGAAGAATAATTATCAACCCGTAGAAAATTTCTAAAACTGAATGAACTATGACACAGAACAAAGAAATTTTCAATCAATTTTAATTGTGTAAATAATATTATTATAATTGATACTTCAATTATGTCATGAAAGGGAGAAAAAAATAAAATGAAGTTTATGATAAACAAATGGTATTATATTTTATATGTTAAATTTTTTCGTTTATTACAATGTTTAATACTGGATTTATTTAATAAATCTTAATTACAAACTTTTAATACTTCATTATTCTGTAAGTAGTATTAGCATCATAGAATACAATTTGAGTACTTTTCTTAAAATATTAAATTAATTTAATACGGTTCTGCTTTGACAATTAATTAACTTAATTAATTTTTAATTATTATTTCAGTAAATCAGATCATAATATTTAGAATCACTTTGATAAAGAATCCTTGTAAAGGTGAAAGAAATAAAATTTTATAAAACCAAGCAAATCGTCACATGGTCAATTGTGCTGGTAAATTTACCAAATATCTATGATAAAAGTTTCATAAAACAATTAGCCCCCATTTGGTGGCCATTCTCTTAAAAAAAAAAAAAGTTATAAATTGTGTTTTAGGAGAATGTGCGGTTAAAAAGTAGAGAAAAAGTTTTAAGTTTATATGTAGAATGTGTGATGATGATGATGAAAAAGAGTTCGGTGATAAAGTTGAAGAATTTGACATTACAGAATTGAGGAAACTGGTGAAAATTGAGAGGAAGAGAGCAAATGCAGCTTATGCAGCACTTGAGAAAGAAAGGGCAGCTTCTGTTACTGCTGCAGAGGAAGCAATGGCTATGATTTTGCGACTTCAGAACAAGAAGAGTCTGATCGAAATGGCATCTGAATTTGTTGCTGGATAAATAGAGATACGCGAATGTCTGTATCGAATGGCATAATTTGGAGACTACATTTGTATAGCATTTGGACTCGTTTATTTAGAATACTATAAATTATGACAATGAGATGTATGGTAAGTTTCAATACTAATCAGAATTTTCTCCAATATCTGTGATCAGATTTGATCAGGGAGTTATTCAGACATTGCATTTGCTAGGTCAAATTGTGTATGAGAAAATCGTATCGTTTTGTAACGAATGATGGAAAAGAGGAGTCAAAAAGCTTCGAGTCCTTTGAATCTCAGTATCGAAGATGTCATTCAAGATGTGCTGTGGAGCTCACTCTACATGTATTTACAGCCAGGGAGTAAGTTTCTATTGTACTTCATTAATCTTTTGTAGACGACCTTTTTGTTCTTAGATTTTATTCGGGTGAGATCCTGATACCTCTCTATGTTATATCCAGGGGCGGACTCAGACAGTCCGAACTATGGGGTCAAAAATGAAATTTTTTTCGAACCACGTATCATTAACGAAAATAAGACCATATGCTACTACAATAGGATTTTGATTTGGGCTTTTTGGGTGTTGGACTAGGGAAATTAATTGAGTTGGCTCACTACCTTGACAGAAAATTACATTTTAAGCAAGGGAAAGAAAAAAAAAATCTAAAAAACTGTGAGGTCATTTGACCCCATGTGGGTCCGCCAGTGGTTATATCATCCTATGGAGATGTGGTACATGCTGACATTCTAACTGGAATCGGGTTGTGATACAATGGCTATGTTTAGGAGATTTCTTGGTTTCAATTTGTTTACGGTATCTGTGTTTTTTGATATTGACAGCATTTTTATAGAGCATCAGAAGTTAAATTCCTTAATTTCAATAAATTATACTCATCTTGGGAAAGAAAAGACCAACAATTTTATGTAAAGGACATATTTGATATGTTGAATTGGACGGTATTAGGACAGATTAACCAAAGAATGAAAAAGACAGAGATATAATAAAAAATGGTGTATTTATTATCGTTCCAAGGCTTGTTTATGCGGTGTAAGTATTCTTCAGTGGTCTCAACGTGTAATAGCTATTGATGGCTTTGTGGAAGCTAATCATGTACAGGGAATGCTAGATTTTTTTTGGCCTTGACCTAGTGGAAGAATTGTCAGCAACCACAAATTATTGTCCATTGATGGCTCAACGAGTCTTGAACATTTTTTTGTACGTTGAGACATGATATACCGCACTAGAATCAATCACCCGATTGACATCATGGATGTAAGTCAGGTTAGACACACTGTCTACACAACATGTGATGGTCTCATATCCGATCCCAACTTTAGGGTTGGGTCAATATTGAACTCAATTATTGGGGCTAGTAGTTGAAGTGGACCCATATTCGGGTGGTTAGGAGCTAAGTGCGTGTTCAGTACATAATATTAAATAAGGTTAGGCACACTGTCTACACAATATGTGATGCCCTCATATCCGATCCCAACTTTACGGTCTCGTCAATATTGAACTCAATTACTGGGCTAGTAGTTGAATTGGACCCATATTTGAATGGTTGGCATCTAAGTGCGTGATCGGTACATAATACTAAATGAGGTTAGATAAAATTAAATAAGGTTAAAAAGCATACCACGGTTGCTTACCAAACTAAGTAGATAGATTGTAGTTTTGTTAGATTGAGGATATTGGATACATGAACAATACGAAAAATATTAGTACATGATAAATTTAGTTGATCATTACGTTCAATTCAACTTATTAATTTGTCGACACGCCTTTCGAATCATGGTTTATAAATTAGAACTCAATCCAATGACATAAGTTAAACCTTTTTTCATTTTTTCGTGCTCAAAAACATTTCTTTTCATTTTGAGCTCACAAGCAACATATTCATGAAACTAAAATACTACTCACACACACACGGCGATATGAATAGGTATATAACCAACCCAATTTGAAGGAGTTGGGGAAAGAATATTTAAAGTCGCAAATGCGTCTAGATTCGAACCTAGATCTTACTCAACTCAATGAAATAGCGAAAAACAGATCATGTCGAATCTAACTATAAATTGGAACCGTTCGTCAAATGAAATATTTCAAAGGACCAAATTATTTTAATGAAAATTAGTTAGTCTCTGTTTGGTGAAGATTAAAATAAAATTTTTTAACAGATTTTGATAAAAATTGGTGAAATATGTACTCTCATTGGATATCTCATTAAATTGTTGGTTTTAACTTCGATAAAAATTTATATTTTAATTCGTTTAAAATATGGGCTTAAATCTTGGCAAATGCGGGATGAATTTGAAAGAAAAGATGGCAAAAAGTAGAAACCTCAAAATTCTTGTCCAAATTCATTGAACCTTCCCAACAATATATGTGGCACGTAATCTATTGCAGTAGCATAAATAAGGCAGTTAAATTACATTAATCTAGGATTCAAGGGCAAATAAATAATAATAAAAAAGGCAAAATTACACATTTAGTCTCCAATCTTTAGCAATAAACTTTTTTTCATCCCAAACCTTTAAAATCGCACTTTTATAAACATAAAAAATATGGAAATAACAATGGCATAACAATGTTGCCCATAAAAAATTCACTACGTGTGTTGTATGTGAGGATTGTTGTTTTTTTTCCATAAAAACTCAATGACATAATGTACAAATTCAGTAGGGATAGGCATTTTAATTGGAGTTGAACTTCCCAAATCGAAATAGAGGTTCAATCCTGTTAAAATATATATATATAAGAATTGAAATTGAGAATTGATCAGATCTCTAACGATTCTTGGTTGAAACTGTCAACAACCAATTCTGGAAACAATGTCATTTTATATTAAAAAAAATTTACGATTTATTCTCTTCGATTCAATGATTAGGCGCCCAATAAATTTACTAGTTTGCAAGGCCTAACAAGTATCAAATTTGCAAAGTCCAAGTAATAAGTACCCTACTAAATCAAATTTATTCATTTGAATAATTGAACCATATCATTCTCGTTTAATCACTCATGATCAAACTTTAAGCGTTGCCCACCCCACATCCTTCTTGAGGCATTACAGCCACAACAGGAATTGGATTCTATTTGGTGATATATTTGCGGTGAATTAAAAAAAAGTTCAAATATATGTTTTGTGGTATATTATTTTTCTGATAGATATTTGGAAAATAGTTTGTATTATCAACTCATTATTTATTTATTTTTATTTTTTCAAAAAAAGTATGAATAGAATCAAATGTGAATCACAACCCACTGTTTGGCTTCAATTCCAATAATTACATGGACCTGAATGATTCTATTTATGAAATAATAAAAGTGTAATGAGTGGTTCTCGATATTGAAATACCTTGAATGACCCGCCTGACGTTCACGCCACGAATTAAGACAAAAAAAGAGTTGTTCGAATTCTATTACAAATATGAGAGTGATGCAAAGAGAAAGTTGTTCGAATTCATTTGCCTCTCGCTTTTTGCAACATGACATAAGTTGCTTCTTTTATAAGTTAGCGAGTGGCTCTCTCTCTCTCTCTCTCGCTTTTGCTCATTTTCAATGTACCGAAAAGAGAAGATAGAAAATGACATAAAGCACTATAATTTCAAGGGTTTGAACTCCATTCTTTTCACAAAAATGCATTTTGTAATAGTAGTATGATAGATAATGTATGGTTAAAAAAATAAAAAAATTTGAATTTACGTGTAATATTATTTTATTGAGGAATATGTGATTAAAATGAGATCAAATCACTATTTAAAATATATTTTGATATAAAAATGAGTTTCAAACAAGGGCTCAATGGCAAAGAGGGTGTTTGGTGGGAATTAAAATTAAATTTTTAGTAAATTTTGATAAAAGTTTTTGAAATATGTAGTTGAAAAGTTGTGGGATCCATGAAAAATGTGACTAATATTAATTGTTTGACTTTGATTCTGATTAAAATATGAGCTAAACAAGGGCAAAATGTTAAAGGACTAAAAAGTTCTATTGAAGGTTGGGGACAAAAAGCACATTGATGATAAATATTAAGGACTAATGTGCAATTTCCCCTAAAATTTTGATAAAGGATAAGTTTGTAAATTCATAATTGTTAACTTTCTCATAAATAAACCACAATAAATACGTCGGTTTTTTGGTGATATCAGCCTCCTTGCTATTGGTCAGCCCTAAATTCCCCTACCCCTCTCTCTTTCCACACACGCGAGCATATACGTACAGAGAGAGAATGGGTAGCCAAAAGTTTGCTGTTCTTCTCTGTGCAGATGATTCAGACTACGTAAAGAAAATCTATGGGGGATATTTCGGGGTGTTCGTAAGAATGCTCGAAGAAGAAGGTGAAACATGGGACATGTTCCGAGTATCGAATGGGCAATTTCCAGAAGATGAAAAGGTCGGAGAATACGACGGATTTGTGATCACAGGAAGCTGTAATGACGCTCATGGCAATGATCTTTGGATCTGTAAACTCTTGAATTTGCTCAAGAAATTGAACGGAATGAAAAAGAAAGTTCTGGGTATTTGCTTTGGGCATCAGGTATGTCTTTTTCTTTCAATTTAGTCCCTTTTTGAATTTTGAGGTTTTTTGTTTGTTCATTGAGTATTGAATTCATGTCTCGTTAGAACTCATCTATGTACAGCTGTTATGTTTAAGAGGGTGTCCTTTTTGCTTCAGTCTCATTTTTTAACAATGCATTTTTTATTTTATTTTTTTCAATTACACATTTTTTTACAAAATAATTATACATGTATTTCAAAAAAATTGTTACTTTTTAAGTGCACTTTCTTAGCCCCGTTTGTTTATCATTTTTAGAAGAATGAGAATGAAAAATATAATCGTTACAAATTTATGTAATAGATACAAATTCAAATTTAATGATCTGATGTGATGAATAACGATCATATTTTTCATTTTAACGAGGAAAGAATTAGAACCAAAACAGCTTAATACATTTTGCCTAGGAAAGGCGACAATTTTTTGGGTGTCCTTTACATAGACCCTATAACTCTTGAAAAGCCGTCCATTTTAACCAGTATATTTTATTTGGTAAAATAGATTAAACAAAAATAAAATAAATTAATTGTTATATAAATCTAGATGCGTTAGAAGTGAGTTTTTGACAAGCTACATATAAATTTGAATGCTACAATAAAGTATATTAAAAGAATATATATTTCTAGAAACCTTCGTCCTTTTATTATAAAATATAAGGGCCGTACAATTGGATTTGATTGTGATGCTACCACTTTTTTTCACGTTGCAGTTATAATATTTTTATAAGGGAATAACAAAATATCTTGTGTTGGGATAAGGTTGTAGAGGTTAACCACTCCTAGTTTCAATACATATTTTAAGTCCCGTTTGATACACATTAATGTAAAAATGAGAATAAAAAATATAGTCTTTACTGACCCCAGAGAAGAGATAAAAAGTCAAATATGGTGATTTGATATGATGAATAACGATTATATTTTTCATTTTAATGAACAAATAATGAGAGACAAACGGGGGCTTAGTTCTTGTTATTAACGTGTTTTCTTGGAGGAAAGAAGTTTTGGAATAATGACTTTTAAAAAGCGTGTGACTAAAAAACAATATATTTTATTATATGAATATATATAATTTAAAATGAGTGAAATAAAAAAGTTTCATTTGAATGGAAGACAAACAGGGATTTGAAAATTGTGAGAGTTTTTCTTGTAGCATGTACATCAGTCATTATGTTTGATACGACCTGTTTCGTGGTAAATTTTTTGATAATAAAGAAAGTAATATACAAGTCCACGTTTATTTTATTGAAAAAATATATAATTAAAAATAAATTCAAAAAATAACAAATACCATATAGTGTGGCTCTCAATATTTGATTGAAACTCCACAATGCACCCACCCCATTCCACTCCTCAAAAAACACAGTCGATCCTCCTCAATTTACGCCTTTGTTTGAGCTTCATTTTAAGGGAAAGAATGCATTTTAAATAGTGATTGATGGAAAACGTGTGATTAAAAATTAAGAAAAAATTTTAAATTTGCACGTAATATTACTTTATTAAAGAATATACGATTGAAAATGAATTTTGAGAGGAATGAGAGACTACATTTCCTAGTTATGATGTAAAGTGGAGATGACAAAGAATGCTACAAATAGTACTCAAAATTGCGATGTATTATAACCTATGCTTTTGTGTGGTCCTTTTTTTTTTGTTTTGGTTAGTAGATATTGGGACGAGCTTTGGGAGGAAAGATTGGACGAGCAAGTTCAGGCTGGGATATCGGAATCACAAATATCAATTTACAGCCATCGAAGATCTTCTCTTCGCTAAAAATGCCTGCTTCCCTATCTATCATTGAGTGCCACAGAGACGAGGTTCCTACCACCTTTTCGACTTTGAAATATCATTAAATTCGTCTCAAAATGATAAAACCTCAAAATTCTACCCTAATGGATTAGGTATGGGAGCTCCCTCCAAAAGCAGAGGTGATGGCAAGGTCGAACAAAACTGGAATTGAAATGTTCCGGTATGGAGATCATTTTATGGGCATTCAAGGTCACCCTGAGTACACTAAGGACATCCTATTCAACCTCATTGACCGACTTCTCCACCGTGATCTCATTGAGGTAAAATTTAAATCTTCAAAAAAAAAAAAACCTGAATTTCAACCCTCTGATTCTTGACATTATACCTGAATGACTTTATGCATCTATAGGAGTCATTTGCTGAAGAAGCCAAGTCTAAGTTGGAGGCTAATGAGCCAGACAAAGAGGCATGGAAGAAATTGTGCATTGGCTTCCTCAAGGGGAGATTGTGAAGGAATCTTGGAATTGGACAGTTTCGCAAAGACATTTTTAATCGGGAAACCTCGTTGTACTCGTTTTTTAAAACAATTTCAATTTGGTTACAAAACCATTGTTATTGTACGGATCCCAAAGTGCCTTAAAGGGCAATGAATGAAACAAAAACAAGGATGTTAAAACGGGGAAAGGAAACGCATGAGTAATGGGGCACTTTCAAATATTTGATGAAAATTTATCTAAATATGACCCTTCAAGGTCTTCTATTTAGCAGAGTGGTGGCATGGAATAATGAATGAAATTTGAAAAGCATGTACATGGGCGCGACCACCAAGTCTACACAATAAAATTTCATTCAAAATCTAGTCGAGTTCCATAAAAAGTTCACGAGAAACTTGGTCTACATAAAGAACAGAAAAGAATGGCCCTTAGAATTGTATAATCCAAGCCAAACCAATAAATTGGTACACCTAAGTTAAGGCTGGATTTGAAATAAACCGACACAAACACTAAAATTGGATTAATCCGAACATGAAAAAGAACCAACCTAAATACAAAGTAATCTAGTGATTAAAAAATGAAAATATAATCTAGGACAGAACATCATACCCTGGCTCGAAACTATGGAATATTTAGAAGTAACACCGAAAAGAAAAAAAAGAAACGTAAGTAAATTGTAGATGCATATCCATTAAGATTGTATGTCTGAACAGTGTTTGCATCTTCATACCATTATTTATTGAAAAACATCAATAACATGTTCAATGGTAAAATGTCCACTGACAAGAATACTCAATTGTAGTTCATAAGATTCCCCAGACATCAGAAACACAAATGATACATCAGAGAACTTGTGAGGCAGAGATTCCAGACTTAGGAACTCATCATAGAACCTGAGTTTCTCCTACACTCTGCCAACATATCCATATAGAACTGACACTTGCTGATGTCATTGCCGTATCCATTCAAGCACTGCAAAAAAAATTCAAAGATCAACATATGAATCTGAGAAACTTCACTTTTGCAATCAAAAAGCAAACTGGTGTGAAGATGTTAAACCGGATCAATTTAGTGAAATAAAAAATCGTACACAAAGGGATGAAGCTTAAATAAGAGATTGCCATGTTGTCTAGGTCATATGTATCATGTGATAAGGTCAATATGTTACTATCCAATATAAAATCAGAAATGTTAGATTCAACATCCCATGTATGTTAGAATTACTATACTACTGCAAATTATAATAGAATAATGCTATGGTGCTAGAGCATCGCTCTATATGGGATTATGTGACAGGTTCAATTAAAGGTGAAATTATATAATTCATCTAATTGTACCTTTCATTTAATGACACTTAGTGCCACTTGGACTAGTGTTATACTAGAGGTGCTAAATATCTATTTACAAGAAGCATTAGGCTACCAAACAACTACACCATCCAAATCGAATACAAGGGAATCAAGTCACCATGGCACAGATTTACGAATTCAAGACAGCACTTCAGTATTGTAGTCGTAGATTACTTTATCTTAATTTAAATTTTTTTAAAGAAATCAAACTTCGATTTAAAGTCACAAGATAGAACAGTTATTGCTCAAGTTTCAGATAAGCTTCAAAAAATTAAAGATTTGCAAAATGATAGGAGAGGAGACATACATCTTGGAATGCCTTTGAATGCACGCTACAAGCATCAGAGCCACCCATATTGTTTGCAGCAGGTGCTGGTGCAGCTGCTTCAGAAGCAACAGTTTCATGATGAATTGTGCGAGGACCCATAACAGCATCCACAGCCCTGTGTGCCACTGCACTTCCGGTCCCAAAAGCCACTCCTATGGAATTTGAAGAAAAAAGGAGATTCATTCAAAGTTGTCGTTCATGCATACAGCTCATTTTTGGGAAAAATGTCTTCTCTACCTTGGGCTATGGTTGAACCGATGCTTCCAAACATGGATCCACCACTGCTAGCTTGAGCAGGAACTGGAGGAGGAGCATGATTCACTGCAACCATTAGACGCTGTGAGCTGTGAAGCAAATGAATAATAGTACATATAAAAAAATTATATACCACATGCAATGTTGGGTCCAACAAAATTTAAGTCTAAAGATAAATGGTAATTTTGTTGTTTTTCTTTCTCTTTTTGTTCTGAAGGTGAAGTCCAAGATGACTATAAGGTGGCCAAAAATTATTTGTACGAGGAAACAATTTAATTCTCAGACAATTCTTAAATGATCAATGGAGTTACCTGGCTGAGGAGGATTACGAGCTGGAGCAGCACGTGGAGCAGGACGTGCAGATCTTCCTTCATAATAGATAGCAAAATTTGTAAGTAATTGACTTCTATAAAAGCTAGACCTAAACTCACAGAACCACATTGCATGTCAATTGAAAAATTAGCAGATAGGGCCGACACAAAATCATCCATAGCAATAAGGGAGTATTTCAGTCATCCGTTAGTAAATAAATGTACATTTTAAATAGAGATCTCAAACCTGCATCAACATTTCACAAATAAAACAGTAAACCCAGCTTTATCTTGCAATAAGCCCTGCCATTTCCCACCCACTCACCCACCCTCCACAATATAAAAGGGAAGGAAGAAAGAAGAAATTCAGTGTTTATCAAGTCAACCATCTGAAGTATGTTTTCCATAAAACAAACTAAGCCCTTTGATTTTGATTCTTTGAGAAACACTTCTCTCCCACACACATTTTCAACCCCACGTCCTCCCAAAAAAACCACTTTTCCATACTTTAACTACACATTCATCAAGAAATACATTTTAAAAGAATTAATTCTCAAAGAATATTTATCAAACAAGCACAAAGATATAGAACCAAAATTTAAATAAAAATAAGGCTTGCAAGAACTAAATCACGCTCTTCCTTCATACTGACAGTAAACAAGAGG